TTGTCAATGAAAACTGTCCTTTACAGAGAGGTGACCTCTTACTGGAGAGTTGCTAAATAGTAAAAAGTGAGGTATTTTTGTCAATGAAAACTTTCCTTAGTAGAGAGGTCTCTTCTAGTGGGAGTGTCTTCTCACAGAGGTTCTACTGAAATTTTTTTTTTCTCTATTTCGACAATTTGATGCTCTCTTTGTTTCTTTATATTATATTCAATCAAGTGTCTCTGTGGACCAATCTCTCCTTATAAAAATAATTGAAAAAAGATTATATTAAAGTTTTTATTATTATTATTATTGTGATCATTATTGCAGCTAGTTCATTTTATAATCTTTGTTCCTATGATTGTGATTGTTTGCCACTTCTTTTAAAATATCCGATTTTTTTTCCTTCTTAACTGATAGAGAATTGTTATGATTTTTTTCATATTTTGTGTATTTAAATTATATTATTTTCTTTTATTTTTGCATATATTGCATGTGTTGCAGTTTGTAAAAAAATGTTAATACTGCATTCATATTAATAGGAATATTTTGATGTTACAGTAGAACCTTATTTATAACAGCAACTAGATTTTTTAAATCAAAATTCTCTTAATTTTAAATATAAACGTTCTTCCCCTGACTTTTAATAGAACCAATAAAGCAGCCAGGGCAAAGTTTCTTCTAATAGAAGAAGCCTTGAATGCTTTATTGATTCTATTAAATAATTTTCTTTAGTAGAACCTCCCTGTAAAGGATACCTAATTGCAGAGCCAAAATGTCCTTTAGGGAGAGGTGTCCTCTTACAGAAGAGTTGCTATATAGTAAAAATGGTAATTTTGCAAATGAAAACTGTCTTTTGTAGAGAGGTGTCCTCTTACCAGAGAGTTGCTATAGAGTAAAAATGGTCATTTTTCAAATGAAAACTGTCTTTTATAGAGAGGTGTCCTCTAGGGGGAGTGTTCTCTCATGGAGGTTTTACTCTACCAAGTTTTAAGTTCCCATTGTTTTAAGTCCCATGTTTATAACGATAGTCCTGATTCCAAGTGATGTTATTATAATATGGTTCAACTTTATTATTATTATTATCTTTTATAAAACTGTTTTATAAATTTTTATTTGATTGTTGTAAAATGAAGATGTGTGTGGTGTGAAAGAGAGAAATTTGCCTTTTTTTTTTTATATTTTTATATTCGCAATAATCAATTGTTGATTTTTTTTTTTTTCACATTGAAGAATATATTAATAAAAATATATATTTATATGAAAAAATAATAGAAAAAAATAAAAGATAAGTGGGTCAGGTGTTGATATTAAAAATAAAGAAGGCATCTCCTGACCACGAGCACATGTGCTTTTTAGATGGCAGAGCGCCATCTAGTGAAGCAAAAATAAACTAAACGTTTATTTAGCTTGCTCCGTGATAGTTTAGTTTATTTTTGCTCCACTAGATGGCGCTCTGCCATCTAAAAAGCACATGTGCTCGTGGTCAGGAGATGCCTTCTTTATTTTTAATATATTTATATATACAGTAGAACCTCCCTGTAAAGGACAACACCTAATTGAAGAGCCAAAGTGTCCTTTAGAGAGAGGTGTCCTCTTACCGGAGAGTTACTAAATTGTAAAAATGATAATTTTGCCAATGAAAACTGTCCTTTGTAGAGAGATGTCCTCTAGCATGAGTGTCCACTAAAGGGAGGTTCTACTGTATATACTTGTTATTAGATGATGATACCAAATTATCATCTACAATTTGTGATCCTAAAAAAAAAGTTTGATACCTTTATATTTGAAATTGTGAACTTCTTTATATGAGTGGCTCTAAAGCTAATGTGTTTTAACTCTCCAGAAATTAAAAATTGAAAAAAAAAAAATTGAAGTTTTCTAATACAGATTTGGTACCTCAAGGTAATAAGACCAAATCCAAATAAATAAATAGTGTGTGATGTTTCGGGAACAGCGTTGTTACCATCTTCAGACAAATGTACTGATAAATACATTCAGTACTTTTGTCTGAAGATGGTAACAACGCTGTTACCGAAACATCACACACTATTTATTTATTTGGATTTGGTCTTATTACCTTGTGTTTATGATCTATAATCCAAATTGTGCCTTATCAGATTTGGTACCTGTCTCTGACCTAGAAAGATAAAAATAAAGTCCAGTAGAACTACCTCCCTGTAAAGGACACCTAGTTGCAGAGCCAAAGTTTTCTTTAGGGAGACGTGTCCTCTTACTGGAGAGTTGTTCCTAAATTGTAAAAATGGTAATTTTGCAAATGAAAACTGTCCTTTCTGGAGAGGTATCCGCTAGCGGGGTTGTCCTCTAAAGGGAGGTTCTACTTTATATGTTTTTAAAAATTGGATATACCTACATTGACTTTTAAGCCACTCATATAAAATGTATATATACATATATATATATATATTTTTTTTTTACAATATACCCTATATCCTTTTGTATAATAGCTTGTCCTGAAACATTGTATACCTTTAACCAGAAAAAGTAAAATATTCTAAAATATCCTCATCATATAAATAAGAGTGTTTCAAATATTTATAAAATTTTAATAGCAATCATAAATGTGCTGATCTTGAATCTATTTTATATATACCTTTTATATACATATACACTCATGGACAAAACTTAAGGAAGTTGTACCATTTAGCATGTATATTGGGATTCATACAATAACTCTGAAAGCTATTTGATATACAGTGACCTTTATTGAAGACACACAAGATAACCAAGTGTGAACAAAATTGCTTCCTTCAAAAAAAAAAAAAAGAGATGACAAGCAACATCAAAGACTTTCCACTTCCTTAAGTTTTTTTTTTTTTTGCTTATTCCTAGTACACATGGTACAAGCATGAAAAGCAGTTCGACTTTGCACTTACAAATGTGCCTGAGCTCCGTTTGGTTACTTGCACTCGCTGGTGGGGTTTAGACTTTTGCAAGAATCAGGGGTTATTGGAGCATTTTTTTTTATTTAATCAGAAAAAAGTGCCCAATGTGGAAATTGAACCTGGGTCATAGCAGTCGACAACCAACAGTTTAGACCATCCTTCTACCGACCCCGACTTCCTTAAGTTCTGTCCATGAGTGTATAAAAATAAGAAGCCATACAAATTGGGCCAAGCTGTGAGGTGAAGTGTCCAGTACCTCTGAATTAACTTTCCCAACACCTACTGATGGCACAGTTCCATCCATATTTTAGGAACCTTTGCTCTAAATCTCCTAATCATTCACAGGATTTTCTCCCGGCTTCCAAACTTTGAATGATGGTTAATTTCACAATTAAATCATCTTTATATATGGTACAATTTTTTTTTTTTGCTTAACCCTAGTATACATGGTACAGACCATGATAATCATGGTGGGTAGAAGTGGGCGAATGCTTTTACTGTAAGTGCACCACATGTCTACACATGTGAAAAGCATTTCAACTTCTCACTTACAAATGTGCCCGGGCCCCGTTTGGTTACTTGCATTCGCTGGTGGGGTTGAACTTTTGAAAAATCAGGGGCCATTGAAGCATTTTTTTTACAATTTGTATTATATATATAGATTAAAAACATTTGGTAATAAAACCCAAATTAATAAATTGTGACAATTCAGTAACAATGCTCTGTTAACTAACATGCCAAAAACAATTTATTAATTTGAATTTTGTATATCACCTTATCGTGTTTCAAACACAAGGTAACAAGACCAAATCAATAAATGTAACAGCATTGTTGCCATCTTCAGACAAAATTACTGAATGTACAAAAGTACTATTTCAGTACTTGATGGTAGCAATGCTGTTGGCGAAACGTCCCACACAATTTATTGATATGGATTTGATCTATAATCAAAATTGTACCTTCTTATCACATATGGTTTTAAATGATACCATTTTATTTCTATTCCTGGTTTATAAAGAGAGTGGTGACACTTTACATAATATCTCTTGAACCAATTTGTTTGGCTTCAACCTTTTCTTACACCAGATGGCCTTCTGTTTCAAATGTTTGTTGTTGACAGATCTCTGTAAATATGGTCAAAATTTGTTGTTCCATTCTGTGCCTTGTTTGGTTAATAAAGAGATTTATTAATTATTTCTTCTCTCTGTGCGAGTTTTCTTTCTTTATTGGTATGTGTATACACCTTATGATGACCTATATATCTTACATACATATTGTTATTCATAAAACAATTGTAGATTGTACATATATTTGATATACAGTGAATGATAAGGCATGGATTATAGATTATAAATACAAGGTAATAAGACCAAATCCAAATAAATAATGTGTGATGTTTCGGTAACAGCGTTGTTACCATCTTCATCACCATTCAGTACTTTTGTCTGAAGATGGTAACAATGTTGTTACCGAAACGTCACACACTATTTAATTATTTGGATTTGGTCTTATTACACATTGTGATATACAGGGAAATTTTCATAAGATAATTTCTTACTTTGGTCTTGTATAATGTGAGTGGATCACACACCCATGTGATTTAGTTTAAATTAAAGAAAAGCCTTGATAAAGAGAGGCGTTTTGCTCCTAGAAATATTGGTTAAATAATAAATTTAGATCCAATATATGCTTTATATTTATTTATATGTATACACCCATATACCTCGCTTTGCATCGGGGTTACGTTCCAAAAAAACACGACGCAAATTGAAACGACGCAAAGTGAAAATATGTGAAGGCGCAATCAAAAACAAAGGTGTTGCCATATTTTATGAAAAAAAAAATTAATAAGATTTAAAGACTCAATCCAAAACAACGCAACTTTGAAAATCTAACGACGCACAGTGAAAATCAGTAAAAATTAAGCAGCGACGCAACTTCGAAAAAAACGCAAAACGAAACAATCCAAAGCGAGGTATTGGTGTATTATATATCACATACAGGCTAATTTATTTAATTCAGCACACCCTAAGAAATTAGAAATTTCAGTTGAATTAAAGTTGGTGTTGAATTATAGCTAGTTAAATAAATGTGGGATTTACCTACACACATTGTGTCAGAATGACCACTGCGTTCAGGTCTAAGGCGCTGTGTTCAGGTCGCAGTCTACTCTTGTAGGCGTGGGTTTGAATTCCACTTATAACATTTTTTAAAAATGGCCATATTGGAATTTGAAAAAGTGCTAATTTATTGTAGGTGTTTAATTATAGTCAGTTGAATTAAAGAAATTATATTACACACACACAGCTTTATTAAGACCTCCGGTCTTATACAGATTCACCATAGAAAGAAAGGAGAAAGAAGTTATATTGTATATTTCAGTTAAATTTTATCATATTAATTATATACATACAGTATTTACTCTTTTTCATTTTTGGAGGTTTAAGAGATTTCTGAAGAAATCCATTTTATCAAGCAAAAGTAAAGAAAAAAACATTCAACTTTCAATCTCTCTTGTGTTTATTCTTTAGCTTGTGATAAGAGGATATCCCCTGAAAGTTTATAAACTTCGGCATAAAAAAAATGAATATTGATATTGTGATAAAAGATGTGCATTCACATCTGTTGACAACACATGAAACATGATTCTGTGACTCATTGGATGAGCAGCCACATCTTGGTTAAAAGGATTTAACCTACTCAACCTCCAAGGAGAGACTACCTCAAGGAGAGAACATCCTTGGAGCAGTAGCCACCCAGACCTTTCGGTCCATAAACCGGCATGCGATAGCATACCCATTGCTGTATCTAGGTCACCTAACCAAAAAGGATGATGCATTCTCCATGCACCGAGCGGCCATTGTTTGGCCCTTGCGCCCGCCATTATGGTCTGGCTCCATGGGGTCGACCAATCAAACCCACAGGCGTTTCCGAGAGTTCATGTCAAGGTTGCTGACAGAGCCCTCCCGTTCGGACTTAGTTAAACCCGTCCTACGCTCCAATAGGACTTTCCCCCCCCCCCCCCTTTGGCCCTCGAACCCTTTGTTCACAGTACTCCCTGAATCTGCCGACGAATCAAGGACCTCTGAGGTTTACGCGGGGAACCAACGCGAAGGCGGGAGGGTGGTACTGCTGTGTGGATAGTCTCTCATGGAGGTTTATACTGTATAAGTGAGGAGAAGGTAAAGTCTCCCTTGATAAACCACCATAAAAACATGACTAAAAACCTGGTCTACCCAGGAGGTGCTTTCTTCAGAGACTGTCATGTCAGGCCAAGTTATGAGAGGAATCTTTCAGCTGAAACAGTTCTGATAAAAGACCAACTCCAGACAAGACCAGGTTTTGCTGTGTTTTTCTGTTGCTGTCTCTCATAAGAGACTCTACAATGTTAATAAGTATTCAATGTGATTTCTTTGTGAACTTTTCCTTCAAAGAGATTTGTTTAGAGAAAATATGGTTTTACGTGCTACTAACCAAAAGTTATGATTTTTGAGCCCAAGCGCGATGTCAGGTGGCAAGGGACCCTAGGATCTGGCGGCAGGAGATGTGTCGCAGGGGTAGTGGAAACGTTGGGCAAGCAGGGGAACAGCGCCAAGGTGCAGTGAGGCAGGAGCATTGAATTGGCCAGGAATCCAGTAGAAGTGGCAGATGGAATTGGAGGCAGAAGGTCCTTGAAGCCTAGAACTTGAGGGCCCTAGACTTCAGGATGGGGCAGCTTGAGGCTCTCGCCTCGTGCTTGTCAGGAAGGCCCTTGGAGCAGCAGTTGGCACATTTGGAGGTGCGCTGGTCAGCAATGGATGGGCAGGCGCGGCCTTCATGGCCGTCTTGACCGCAGTGGAAGCACTTAGGAGCCCTGGAGCATTGGGCAGAGTTGTGGCCGAAGCCACAACAGCGGAAGCAGACGCGGGCGCGGATGGACTCCTCGAAGTTGAGGATTACTCCATCAACCACGATTCTCCCGCGAACGCCCAGGGCTCTAAAGGTCTTGAGGTCCACCTCGATGAAGGCGGTGCAGGTCCCGCTTCTGGGTGCAGAACGGTGCGCCACGCGCACCACCTTGTCCCCAGGAAGTTTTCTAACAGCAGCGGTTTCCAGGAAGGTCTCCTCAATTGTGGAGTTGGATGTCTCCTCATCCACTTTGAAGAGGCAGATCCGTGGCAGGATCTCCTTCTGCTGGCGGACCTTCATTCCATTCAACTTGCTGGCCAGGGAGGGTGTCACCTCAGGGATGGTGTCAGGATTACTGAAGTGGAGGACCAGCTTCCCCTTGGTGTGCAGGGAGGCCCAAACGCCTTGGGGGAGAGCGCGGACAGCTTTTAGCATCTCCCTTGGGTCAGCCTGTGGGTCATCAGAGATGACCACTGTGTGGGCCGCCGATTTTTCTCCATGGAGGATCACTTGGGCGGCCGCAGGCTTGGATACGCGGGAAGGCGCAGGTTTTGAAGGACCATTCAGGTTTGTCCTCTTTGCAGGCGGGTTGGGAGCCTCAGACTGCTTCCTTTTGGTTGGAGCAGGAGCAGGCAAGGTGGAGGCAGGCTTCTTGGCAGGGAGAGCAGCAGGAGCAGGAGTGGCGGGCTTGATTGGGTCAGTCTGGGAGCTGGTTTCCTTGCAGGAAGGAGCAGGGCAGGTTTGAGTGCCGCGGCAAGCAGTCTTGGGCTTGTTGGCCTCCTCAATTTCGTCCAACTCTGCGAAGGACTCGAGGGTGTCAGTGAGGTTCTCTACTTCGGTAGCGAGGGCCTTGATCATTTCAGTCCGCGAGGCGATGTAGCGGATCAGGTCCTCATGCAGGGATTTCAGGGCAGGATGGTCAATGGAGCTCAGGATGCTGCAGTTGCGTGAGATCACCATCTCATCTTCCCTCTCCAGGTCGGCGACGCTCACGATGGGCTTGTAGGCCTTCTTTTTCTTCTTGGCAGGATTCATGTATGCCAACCAACGGGGAAGAGAGAAAATATGGTTTTACGGGCTACTAACCAAAAGTTATGATTTTTTGATTTGTTTAGAAGAGTTTGTGTGTCTTATATTTGCTATGGTCAATAAGTCAGTACTCCCCTTCAAATTTATACTATCCCCACAGAACTGAATTAAAATAATGTTCATATAATTTTATTTTTTCTGAAAAATCACTTTGTTACATTTTTTATTATTATCCCTAGTACACGTGATACAGGCCATGAATTATGGTGGGAGGTAGTAAGCAACTACTTTTACTGTAAGTGTACCACATGTCTACACAGGTGAAAATCAGTTCGAATTTTGTACTTACAAATGTGCCAGAGCCCCATTTGGTTACTTGCACTCACTGGTGGAGTTGGACTTTTGAAAGAATCGGGGGCCATTGGAGCATTTATTTATTTATTTATTTATTAGAAAAAAAGTGTCCAATGTGGGATTTGATCCCAGGTCATAGCGGTCGAAAACCAAGGGTTTAGATCAGAAGTCAGCAACCTTTTGAGTCAGAAGAGTCAAAAATTACAAAATTTCTAAGTTTTTAAAGAGCCACAAAATTGTTTCTTATCAACAATATAAGTAGTATTCTTTAAATAATATTTACGTATTACGATTAGTTGATATTCATTACGATAGATGGCGCAAGTCATCAGCAACTTTCAGTTGCACGATCAGGAAATGACTTTTTTCTTAATTTATCTACCTGATCCAAGGTGGATCCAAATATATATAACATGAAGTTACGAGACGAATATCATCCTACCGCAACTTTTATGTAACATTCCAGCCTGTAAATCGGTCCCTGCCACTTCACCTGTTCAAACATCTTATTGGTAAATTCGATCGATTTCACAACCTATCACGTAGAATATTATGAAATTGAAGCCGCCCCTCTATTGATGAGAGCAATCAGCTTTGGCAAACTGAGAAA